GCTGCTCACTGCGGCAGCTGGCCGCTCACGCTGGCTGCTGGCTACACACGGTAGCCCATGGCAACCCATTGCCACAGGGGCTGCAGCCTACGCCATTGCCGGCGACTCACAGCAGCCCAGCTCCAGGTTGAGCGGTTGTTCAGCATCTTAGCTGTGGAAGGCAGTGTCACTGGCCCTCATATGTGGGATCCAAACCAGGGCCCTCTGGCATCCCTAGCCAGTTCTCAACCAACATGCCACTCAGCTGGCCTTATAAATTTGTTTTATAACCCTCTAATGCAGCGGTTCTCAACCTGTGGGTCATGACCCCTTGGGGGTCCAACGACCCTTTCACAGGGGTCGCCTAAGACCATCAGAAAACAAAAAGATGTTTACATTATGATCCATAACAATGGCAAAATTACAGTTATAGAGTAGCAACAAAAATAATTTTATGGTTGGGGGTCACCACAACATGAGGAACTATATTAAGGGGTCGGGGCATTAGGAAGGTTGAAAACTGCTGCTCTAATGAAATAATTGATTCTGATAAAGATTCTCAAAAGATGCTAAATCCATTAAGTGAAAATTTAATAAGGAATGGGCTTTATTTAGCAAGAAGCCAAAGTATCACCCAAAGGTTACTACCTAATCATAAACCTGGGGTTACTACCTTAACTAGGTGATCAAATTATATCACAGATGTTGGAACAACTAGCCACTCTGTGCTATTATCATGATGTAATATTCAATATACCAATGAAACATTTAAGCTGAATTTTGTCACGCTCGTATATCTAGCTTCCATTTCACAAGAAATATTAGGAATGTGGAACATGGTAAATTAACTTCATGAGGAAACAATCAGATAATTCACAATGTGAAAATTTCTACAGGACAATTGACTTGGTCTTTAAAATAAAAAATAAATAAATGGGACTACATCAAACTAAAAAGCTTCTGCACAGCAAAGGAAATAATCAACAAAATTTAAAGACAACCTAAGAATGGAAGAAAATATTTGCAAACCTTACATCTGATAAGGGGCTAATATTCAAAATATATAAGGAACTCACAGAACTCAAAAAATAAACAAACAACCCAATCAAAAAATGGGCAAAAGACCTGAACAGACAGACATTTTTCCAATGAAGACATGCAAGTGGCCAAGTTATATGAAAAAGTGCTCAACATTATTAATTGCCAGGGAAACACAAATCAAAGTTGCACTGAATGATGCAATTATGAATAAGAGATATCACCTCACACATGTTAGAATGGCCATCATCAAACAAAACAAAACAAAACAAAATAACAAGAAATAACAAGAGTTGGGAAGGGTGTGGAGAAAAGGAAACACTTGGGCACTATTGGTGGGAATATAAATTGGTACAACCACTATGAAAAATAGTATGGAGTCTCCTTAAAAAAAATGGAAATACCAATCTGAGTATATATTCACAGGACATTAAATAAATATCTTGAAGAGCTATCTGCACTCCTATGTTCATTGCAGCATCATACACAATACCCAAGATACAGAAACAATCTAAGTGTCCGCTGACAGATGAATGAAGAAAATGTCACACACACACCACACACACACACACACACACACACACACACACACTCAAATATTATTCAGCTATATAAAAGAAGGTATTCTTGCCATTTGCAACAACATGGATGAACCTGGAGGGCATTATACCAAATGAAATAAGCCAGATACAGAAAGACGAGTACTGCATGACCTCACTTACAAGTGGCATCTAGAAAAACTGAATTCACAGAAGCAAAGAATAGAATGATAGTGGGGAAATGGTGAGATGTTGGTCAAAATGTAGAAAACTTCAGTTTTAAGGTGAATAAGCTTTGGTTATCTATGTACAGCATGGTGACTATAGTTAATGATACTGTACGAGTATTTGAAATTCGCTGAAAGAGTAGATCTAAAGTGTTCTCACCACACACACAATTTGGTAACTAGGTGAGGTAAAGTATATGTTACTTAGTTTGATTGTGGTAATAACGTCACAACATATACTATATCAAATCACTCTGTATGTCTCAAATATATACAATTTTTATTTGTCAATTATATCTGAGTGAGGCTAAAAAAAAAGAGTAGGGGAGAAGACTGAAGAGACAACCAAATGCAATGTGTGTTCTTTGTTTTTGTAAAAACAACAAAAAAAAACACTAGTAAAAATATATATTTGTACAACTGTGGAAATTCAAATGTGGACTGGAAATGTATCTTATTAAGGAATTATACATTTTGTTGAGAGTGACAGTATTAAAGTTATATGAAAATGTTTTATAATAAGGGTGGTAAAGTGTTATGAGAGCTGCAATTTTCTTTCAAACAGTCCATCAAAAATAAAATACTTACATGAAGCAATTTTGGGAAAATATTAATAACTGTTACTTCTAGGTGGAAGTTTTAGATATTGTTAAATAATTTTTTTTTAGTTTTCTATATGTTTAAAAATTTTCAAATAAAAAGTTAAAGTATTTCTTTTATTTTAGGGTCAACATTCCAGTGGAAAGTAGACTTTTAATATCAAACTATTCTGATTCCTGTTTAACTAATTTGCACATAATAGCTCAATGTTGGCTCAACAGATTAGTGAGTAAATTATTGTTAATGCTACTACTTAATTAAGTTTTTAGTCTTCAATAAGTATTTATACATTCATTCATTATTCCACTCAACACTTTGTATGGATCATTTCATTGGGAAATGGGGAATCTGTTTTAACTGCTTGGAATACATAACTTAGTGATTTACAGGAAATTGAAGTTATCAAATGTCTACTGATATTTAATGTGCTAATTTATCTTACATTTATATTTAGAATGACACATTATATAAAATTATGTTAATTAGAAATACTGGTTTTGCCACTTGCATAGTCTTTGTCATCACTACAAGCACCATTTAAATCCACCAACACAATTTTGTAGATGTTATCACCTTCATTTCCTCCACTTTGAGATGTAGCATTTTTGGAACCTCTGACTTAGTCACTGACACACAAAATATATGTCAATCAAAAAAAGTTTATCTGGTAGATAAATATTTTTGGTCTCTACACTTCTTGTTTTTAAAACAATTTTTTTAAAAAGTCTTTTCCTAATGACATCTAACACTTGAGTTAAGTCAAACCCCCCAAAATATTATTAAATCTTATTAAAATTCCTTGCTTCCTTATTTATCCATTGTATCAAGTTACATCTGTAGACACCTCAAACTAACATTGATCAATATTGCCTTTGTCTAACATGTCATCCCCAAATACTACCTAGTGTTTTGAAATAGCACAAGTGAGAAAGTATTGCTTGATGTAAGGTCTTGAATAAAACGTGAATGAAAGGTTATAAGAAATGCCTTGTTTTGGGGTATGTAGGGCATTTATTGAATGCCTAACATGAGCCATCAATGAGCATAGATTCTGGGGTTTCAAAGATGACCAAGACAGACCTGACTCCTGCTCCTGACTTCTTGATCTCCCTCTTATTATGTCTTCACATCAGTCTTGTAGGTCTGATGGATGGCTGATCTTAATATGCTAGTGCTTTTGGGTCGCCTCCTTGGTTCTTTTCTGTGCTTGACCTTTGGACTACATTGGTCTTCAGCATTCCAAGTGAGATTCCCCTCCTGGTTCCTTCTACATCGTGGGGACACACAATTGGCTTCCTTCTTTTCTAGATTTGTCCAGACTCTAGCAAAAGGGATGGAGGTCATTATGAAGGCAGATTTGATGAACTTTTGTGACTGGTTAGGTCACAAGGAAGAAGAATGTGAAAAGTATCTGCAAGGAGCATTACCATATTGTTGATAAGAAAAAGGGAATTAGGAGGGCTGCTTACGGGAGGAAGACAGTGAGTATGTATGGGACATGATAAGTTGGACATGATGATTGCTCACAGAAGTGGGACTGTTTGCCAGGCAATTAGGGGTACAGGAAAAGAAGAAGTCCCTGGCTAAAGTCGAGAATCTGGGAGTCCACTATCTGAAGCACAGTTTAAGCCATGGTTGAAGGTGAATGTGATAAAAGACAATTATAAAGAGAGAATAGCAGTGGGCTTGACAGGATTTTGAGACCCACTGCTCTTATGGGCACCATAGAGGAAGGCACGTGGGTGAAGGGGACCCAATGTTGGTGAGTTCAGGGACCTATTTAGCCAGCTCATAAATTAACCTCTTAGGGTGACCTACAAGATGGCTGAGTTATATGGGTGCATGTGAAGCGATAAACTACCAGGATATTTAAGGCCATTCTATGTGGATCAGCGGGTTTTCCCTTTTTCCTTTCCTAGCCCATATTCATTTCTGAGCTCCACATATGGTCATAACAAGCAGAGCATTTCCCATGAAATCCATGAGAACTTTCTGCTTAAATTGGCTCTTAGGTAAACCTGCACTGTACATAACAGGTTGTCTTCCTAGGTGCAGATAAAATCCTCAGTTGGGTGCACAGCTTGGGCCTGGGTAACTTTAGTTAGTTAGTTAGTTATTTGGCCCTGTGACTTTTTCTCTAAGATAGTTATAACACAAAGGAGAAATTTTCAACAATGTCCATCAGCCCAAACCAATATTTACTTTACTCTTTCTCATATAACCTTATTTC